TTCTTGTTCTCACCATTTTTTATCTATACACCGAATAAGGTGAAATTAGATCCTTATTCACGATAGATATTCAAATCATCCTTATCACTCTGAAACGTTTACATGCTAGTTCTAATATCGTAGACATACACTTAGAATCCTAAACACATAAGGTTTCCAGATCCGGTCGGCAACAGACCATAGATTCGAACAAATAATAGCACCAATATAGCTATCACACAAAACATAAAAGCATTTTAGGCATCATTCCTAAAATAAACTAGTGCTTGTGTCAATTTAGGTGTACTACCTAACATATTTTAGACACACTGCTCACAATCATTACTTAGCATTCTAAGTTTAAGTCTAGAAATTTCCTACAATTTCCTAGTTCGCTTAAACTAATGCTCTGATACCAACTGTGACATCCCCATTTTCACGGCCAGAAAAGACCGATTTGTTTATGCTTTGTTTTATAAAATCAGAGTAATCTTTTAAAGAAAACAGTTGCGGAATTTGTTCCCAAAACAAAATATGATAAAAATTATCAAAGCATTTCTCGAAGAGAATGTATTTTCATTTAATAATAAAATCTCGGGATGTCATGTTCCGATACAGACATATAAGCATAAACAGAACTTACATTTAATTACACAATTGATTTATATCTCCTTTAAATCTCTCTGTGAAATATGTCTTCGTATTAATACCTGTGATACAAAGAAAACTGAGTGGGTCAGGCTTGGGAGCCTGGTGAGCATATAGGGTTTTCAACCACAATAATATAATTATTATATTCAACCATCAAACAATCAACTCAATTACCCATCCCTATTATCTTCTTTATTTCTTAGGATTTTACCCTAGGAATTCAACTACCCATCATTCATTCATTCCTAAGGATTGACCTAAGGAATTAGCACAAACTTCCATTGCTACATAAGGCGCATCTGCCAACATTATCCTTTAAGCGCCTCTGCCAGGATTACGTCATACACTATGAGGCGCGACTGCCAGGTTTATGACATTATCTTTTAGGCGCATCTGCCGACATTATCCTATAAGCGCATCTGCCAGGATTATCCTATAAGCGCATCTGTCAGGATTGCGACATTCACTACTTGGTGCATCTACCGATATTATTCTTAAACGTATCTGCTAGTATTATGATATTCTCTAATTGGTGCATCTGCCAATATCATTCTTAATCATCTTTCATACCTCATCGTTTTATCACATACCAACTATCTCATCAACCCATGTTCTACCCAACATAATTGTAGATATAAAATACATATACAGTTTAACTCATTTAAAAACTATATAAAACATCCATCCCACACTCATCTCAAATAAACAACAATATATAAACACATAGCACGCATTTTATAACAAATACTTCATATTTATGTGTTAAAAGAAGGTAACTACACACTCACCCAAACATATACTTAATACAGTCAAACAATACTTGTATTATACCCGTGTTTATGAAAGGGACTATACACCCACACATATAAACAACTTTATATTATACACATAGCACGTATTTTATAGCAAATACTTAATATTTATGTGTTAGAAGAAAGTAACCACACACTCACTTGATTAGAAGATGATCGGACAACACTACGACTTGTAGTAGTATTCTTCGGTAGATCTGGAAGATCTTCACAAAAACTGGGCTCCTCGCGGGCAGAGCTTCGGCTTGGGAATCGCACTTCTCGAGATCTTCGGGGCTTCGGATCTTGCTTCGGGGCTCGGAAATATTACCGGGGCTTCGGGGTATAAATGGCACGCAAAACAAGGCAAAAATTAGAGAGAAGAAAGAGTTTGAACAAGAGAAAATGGTTGATTTCGAGTTCTATTTATAGGCTGAGGGTCTGGGATTACGCGGGGTGTAATCTCAAATTACGCAGGGCATACTCAGTACGCTGGGCGTACTTTGACGTCATTGCGTGCGTCGACTGGTGGCACTCGAGTGTTGGTCAGACAAGTTGCATCCGACTGAGTACGTTGGGCGTACTCAAATTACGCTGGGCGTAATTGACTCGTCGAACTTCTAAATTGCGTAACTTTCGCATACGAACTTCGTTTTCGACGTTCTTTACATCCACGCGAAGGTGAGACTACGGTCTACAACTTTCATTTAGACTCCGTTGGCTAATTTTGAGTTCTATTTTTATTATTTAATTTTAGAAGGCCGGGACAGAAAAACTTCGTTATAAATTCATAACTTCTTCGTCCGAAGTCCGTTTTCGCCTATCTTTTTATTGTTTTACTACAATTAATGAGATCTTCGATTCTCATTTAGATTGTTTTGGCTAAAAACCGTTCGATCTCAAATCGAGTATTCGGGCTGCATACCGCTAAGTCGAAACTTAGAAAAATCATAACTTCCTCATATGAAGTCAGATTTGGACGTTCTTTTTATGCACGCTCATGGTTTAAAGAAATCTACGACTTTCTTTTAGATTGCTAAGGCTAAATATCGCTCTAACGTAAATTCAATATTTACGTCGCGCTGTGTCGTGCCAGTTCTGTCGCGAAACTTCGACAGGTCATAACTTTTTCGTTATAACTCGGATTTCGGCGTTCCTTATATGCACGTAAACCTTGTAACATATTCTATAACTTAGTTAAGATTATTCCTTCAAAATAATATTCGATCAAAAAGTCATTTTTGACGCTTAACGTCTCTAATTGACTAGCCCGGATCTACGGGCGTTACACCCTAATTGTTCATTTTCCATCGAACCTACTTCTCTCTCTCTCTCTATGTATATATATGTATATATATATATATATATATATATATCGAAAATCACATATGATTGGTGTTAGAATCTTTACCTCTGTTGTTATGTAGCAATAACAAGTTTAATCCTTCTTGATCTTGACTTCTGAAAGCTTAGTGCCCCGAGTGTTGCACATCTAATGGAGTCACGAACACCCAATGCAACAAGATGACTAAGGAGAAATGAAGAATTCGGCTAAGGCAACTCCAAGAAGCATAGGGTCGAATTCTTATGTATGCGGGTCTATTTATAGTTGAGGTTATTAGGGTTTTAAGGTGGAAACCCTAATTTCCTTGCTTAGGCCTTAACTAATCCATGGATCCCTTCTAGAAATCCCCTTGGACGAAATCCTTATGGGTTTCCCATAGTTTTCATCCAATCTCTTCTATTAGGACTCCATAGCCCAACTAGCAACTAACAGTTAATTGCAATATCAGTATCCTTTATTTAATCAGTCTCTTTTGATCACCAAATTAATTTTTGATCAATACTAATTAAATAATACGATTTCCAAATAATATATTAATCTTGTAATATATTAATAAAACCATTTTAAGTACTAATTTATTATTCATATAATATATTATACTATTTCTCCTCTTGTCATCCTATCAAGTTGCATGAGTGAAGGCAACAAAAAAGGACCATGCTCATAATCAAATCAAGTACATACCAAACATAGTTATGGGCTTAGACACCTAATCCAACATTTGGTGTAAGACCTTGGAGGGTTTCCATGACATCCTAGTTGTTTGCATTCTTAGCGTATGTGACATTTTTGTGGTTAGGAAGACCATATGGGGGTTCCCATGGCAAGTAGTTAAGACCATGTGGGGGTTCCCATGGTAGGTATTACAATAAATGATACACGAAAACTATTCCATACCTATTACACACTAAAACACAATAATGCCAACAAGTAATTTCTGAAACTCAAGAACCAATAACCAGCAAACCTGTGAATATGACCACATGATGAGATTTCCTTATGATATAATTGATGGGTATTAAGTATTACAACATTCATATGGTGCACATGCAACCCTGATTGCTTTGGATCTAAGTTTTTCTCTATTGAACATGCAAATCCAAACTCCAAAGCAATAACCCTATGACTAGCATACCCAATTTCGAAATTAACATGTCAAATAGGGTTTGATCATTACCTTACTTGTTATGTAGCAATAACAAGAACAATCCTTGCTTGATCATTGACTCTTGAAAGCCTAGTGCCCCAAGTGTTGCACCTCTAATGGAGTCACAAACACTCAATGCAAAGGATAACTTGGAGAGAGAGGTGAAAATCAGCCACCTTAGGGTTTTTGAAGCTTAAGGCCGATTTCATCATGTATGAGGGTCTTTATATAGCTATGTCTGCTAGGGTTTTCAGGTGGAAACCCTAATACATTGTTTCGGCACAAAGCAGCTCATAGACTCCCTCTTTAGAGCCCTTGGACGAAATCTATAGGGTTTCCCTATAAAATTTCGTCCACTTTACTTTATGGATTCCATCAACCCAGTTTTGCAACTATCAATGATATGCAAAACAGTCCCTTCATTATTAATCAGTTCCTTTAATCCCAAAATTAATATCAAATTAATTTCCGATTAATTACTAATTAATAATATGATTTCCAAATAATATATTAAACTTGTAATATACTAATAAAATCATTCTGAGTACCAATTTACTATTCATATAATAAATCCTATTCTATATTTCTTTCCCCTTGTCATCCTGTCAAGTTATACGTGTGAAGGCAACCCAAAAGGATTATGCTCATAATAAAATCAAGGACACATCCGTTATAGTTATGGGCTTAGACACCCAATCCAACAATAATCACTTGATCACCAACTATCGACAACCTCAAATCATGCGGAGCTACTATTAAAAACTACATACGTTGTGGAACAGCAAATCACATTTCATGTATACATACATGGAATGCCTTTCAGTTACCTTTTTCCAATAATAGAAGAATATTAGTTGCCAAAAGTAACTTGTCTACCAGCGACGAATCTATAACAAAAAACCATGTGGTTCACTATTTAAGCAAAATGTAAAAAAATATTATTTACGGGTTTGGGACGGGTTGTATAAGCAAAAACAAAAAAAAAATTAATTTATTACAATTATACCTAAGAATTACAACTATAGTGGTCGATGTGAGAAAACATGAAAGTATGTGGCTGTTAAAAGTATGATTCGGCAAGAATGAACATAACCCGACCCGTTTGTTGAGGAAAGCGGCTGACACAGAAAGGGTTTTACACAGGCGACCGGCGTGGGTTTAGCACAAGCAGTAGACGAGTAGACGCCACGGGGGAGAAAAAGATCAACGGCCAAAATCAGCTAGATAACTAATTCGAACGAAATCGATGCGGTAGCTACCATTGGGCATTAGCCCTAGGATCAGCAGACATGGCGGAGCATTTGGAATTGAAAGATGAATCTACAGCCAATCCTTGTTGTAGCGAGGTAATTCATTTGAATTTTTTGTTTCATATTTGTTGATTTAGTTAATCGTAATCACTCAAGAACTACATTTGATTTCAAGAATTCACTCGCATTTCTTTATTCTTGGTTAGCCAGTCCTAAATTATTTAAATCTTTTCGATTGTGTACCAATAAATACAATTTGATATCAGTTGAAAGATAGACTGTTAAAAGTGCAACAGAAGTGCAAGAAGACGGAGGATGCTAGGGCCGCGCTTAAGAAGGCAGTCGGGCTTTATGAGCGACAGTTTATATTGATGCAAGATGATGTTCAGAAACTCAAGAAGGGTAAGTATACATTGTTTCTGCACTCCTTTAGATCTGCATATTATATTACTTATGCAATCGTAAATGTTATTTTGTGAGGTAGAAAGGTTTATGTATATATATGATCCAAACGGGGTGTATATATATGATCCAAATGGGAGAAATGGAAGAACACCTCATTATATGACATTTTAGGGTTGAAACAACAACTTTTGGGATCAGTAATTGATGTTAACTTATTTTGCAGCTTGCGAGGAAGAGAAGCTGCAAACTGACAATGAAAGGAAGAATAAAGAAAAAGAATCAGCTGCACGAGTTTCATTGGAGAATGAGATATCCTTACTGAAGTCTGAGATTTTATCATTGAGTCAAAAAGAAGGTTCAGTACCAGAACATGTGAGTGAAGAACTTACACTTCTCAAAGGGCGTGTTTCTGAAAGTGAAAAGGAGATAAATTGCCTACGAGAGCAGCTTCAGAAGGAAACAAGTGTTGCAGCTACCAATAGAAAGAAAGCTGTAGAAGAAAAGAAAAGAGCCGATGAGGCATTACAAAGTTCTAAGGCTGAAAAAGACAAGATTGAAAAGGAATTAAGTAAGCTCAAAGCACAGTTGCTTAATTTGGAAACAGAAAAGAAACAGCTAAAGAAGGATCTTCAAAAAGAGAGTGCTAGAGCAGATATGGAGAAGATTAGAGCTGAAGCATTGAAAACTGCAAAGACTGAGGCTGAAGCTGAAATTGAAGTTTTAATGGCTGAGAAGAAGGTTCCATTGGGGGATGAGTTGTCTTCTCCAAAATCCGAGGATATGGATGTAATTACATCCCTTCAAGGGCGTGTATCTGAAATGGAAACAGAAATAACTCGACTTAAAAATCTTCTTGATAATGAGAGAAAACGAGCAGACTCTGAGACAAAGAAAGCTGAAATGGAGAAGAAAAAAGGTAATAAAATGCGAGAAATGTTGAAAACAGAACAAAGTAAAGCTGATGAGCAAAGAAAGTTTGTTGATGTTGAAAAGAAAAAAAGGGAGGAATTTGGACAACAATGTGAAAGATTAAAGTGTGAGGCAGATGAGGTAAGATCTAAGTTGGTTTTAGAAGGTTCAAAGTTTAAAGAAGCAAACAAGAAACTTGAGGCTGAAAGAAAAAAGTATGTAAAAGAGAAAAAGAAATATGAAGAACAACAAAAGATTGCAGAATTGAATATGAAAAATGCTTTGGAGGAGAAACAACGTGCAGATCGGATTCATCAGCAGTTAGAAGAGTGTCAACAGAAGTATGTTAAATTGCAGAAAGAGATGGAAGCAAAACAGAAGGAAAAAGATACCAAACAAATGACTACAATTGGAAGTGAAAAGATTCAAAATGATGTTTCTTCAAGAAACTTAACAAACCCTTCTTGTGTTTTGACTGAAAAAGATATGAAAGGTAAATATGATGAAATGAAACTTTTAAAGAAAAGGCTGAAGCTTGAAAAGGAGAGAGTGAAGCATGCTAATCAGGTAGCTGAGCTTGAAAAGAAGTGCAAAAAAGCAGTTGAAAAAGAGCTTCATCAACTAAAGCTGGAGTTTGCTCGATTTTCAAATCGTGTAGGACTCTGTAGCTGTTATGAAATCTGCAATGCTGGTAAATCTTGCATGGAACAGGTTAGTTTTTTTATTTATTTAGTAACTCATAAATCTTGTTATTGAGGTTGAGATACTTTTTTACTTCATTGCATTGATGCAGTATCTTGGATGTAGTAAGTGACATTTTTCTTTTTTACAGAATCGAAATGTAAACTCAAAGAGGAAATTTATGCACCCTGAGAGTGGAAAAGAACTTATGAAGCCAAATTCTACAAGATCTCCTGTAGTGTCACTTCCTATATCTGGAACATGTACTGAAGTCACCTCAGGTACTGCTACTAAAATGGACTCTCTCCTTGGAGGCTCTAACAAAAAAAATGTAGACAATTATGCCCTTGTTTCAAGCATGTCATCTTTTTCTGATCGACAGTTGGTGGGCTCACAGGGGAAATGTGTTTTTTCCAACACTAAACCAGATGAAAGTAATAAACTGAATTTCAATCAACAGCTGCCTATTTCAAGGTTGTCTAGTGAGCTTCCTACAGCAAGAAATGATGCACTGGTGGCTGGAAACAATGATGTCAAAACTCCTCTTAGACTGAAAAACAAAGATGGAAAAAACAGGAAAAGAAAGCGAACCCTAAATGCAACTGAATCTATTGAGCATTTGTATACAAAAGTAGGTGGTGTGGATAAACCATTGAAAGAAGTTACATTGCCACCTTCTTGCAAGATTATCGAGCAAAAGGAAGATCCAGGAAAAAAAACAGTTGGTGATGAAAATTTTGATTTAAGTAATGATGATAATCTTGAAAATTGTGGGAAGAATGTTGAGATTTTTAAGAGAATGTTGGATGATGATTATATGAAGTTGCTTAGTTTGGATAGTGAATTTGAGGAGGAAAGATACCGTTTTGCAGTTGAAAGGCCTCTTTCACCTACTCTTCCAAACATCCAGTTAGATGTTGTAGAAGATTCTAGACCTTCTGAAATTAATTGCTCAAATGGGTTGTTGCCAGGTGTCAATGATTCTTGTCAGTATATTGTTGTGTTTCCAGAAATCAAGGACAGTGTCAGCCTTTCCAAGATATTTCATACAATAGGAGCTTTGATGACTCAATGCTGTGTGTCTTCTGAGAGTGATCACATGATTACAAATATAGTTTCTGCTCTTTCTGCTGATGAAATTCTCTCACCCAAGTAAGTTTCTTGGCTAAATTGTTTGAATTTATAAAATATGTGCTTATTTTTAACCATTTTTTCTCTTTCAATTATATTTTTCAGGGAAAAGGTCTGTGTGTTCTTCTCATTGTTCTTGAAGAGCCCCTTGAGCATTGCTTTGACTAATGTCAACCATGTCTTAGATGAGAGCTTTTTGAAGACCATTGATATCTTTTCTGGACAAATCAAGAAAGGTATGTGTTATCTTAGTTTCATATTTTCTAGAGTAAATCACACCTTTGGTCCCTGGGTATAGTTGATTTTTGCAATTCTGATCCCATAAAGTTTTCTAGTGCAATTTTTGTCCTTATTTGAGATTCCTGTAGTATTTTTTTTATCCTTAGTCCTAGTAAAATAACTATTTTCTGCAATATTGATCCCAAAAACCACAAATAAGGACCAAAATCCCAAGAGAGAACTTTTAGGGATCAAAATTGCAAAGAAATCAGCTAGCAAAAATGTAACTTACTCTATTTTGTATATATTTATAATTCAGTTGTTATTTTCTATGTGCAGTGATGTCTGATGTAGAGACAAGAAGCATTTTTGAAAAAGTATGCAATTTGGATGATCTTATTACTCTAATTCAAGAATTTATCATCAATGAAAGAGTAGTAATCCACAGTGATATAAATCCCGAGTCACTATCATCATCAGACTCCAAAGCTTCATTGCAACAGCTGGTGATTGGAGCAGTTTTTTTAGCATCAATTTGTGTAGCTTTTGACCGAATTGACTCCATATGTGAAACATCATACACCATTTCCCACATCACCACTCCCTCAACTTCAACATTTCTACATATCTTTGGTTACATATGTGGAGAAAAATTACTATCCCAAGTAGGTGACTACAGTTTAATAATGACTGTAGTAAGTTCATTAGTCACATACCATGAAAAGGAAAACCCATCATCATCATGCGCCAAGTGTCCGTTTCTAATTGGTGCTGTTTCCATGGAAGAAGTCGCATCGCTTCTCTTGAATAAACTGAAATCAACAACAGTTTCTGATGGTGATTTGTCTGATTTTGGGGATGTTTTGTCACTTTTGGAGTTAATAGCATCTAAGATGGTATGTATATGTATATGTATATGTAGTTTTAACTTTTCATTTAAATAAATTATGTTAATTTTATTTTGGATATGCAGAAGTGGGGTTGGGTTTGTGAGAACATTGTTAGTCAGGTGTTGAAGCTGTTGGAAGTGTTTGTAGTTGAAACGCCTTTGACTGCTGTTTTTGTTCTTCTAGGCCAACTTGCAAGGTGAGTTTTAGTTTTTTTTGACTGTTTTAATTATTTGTTTGTTATAATTTTTTTTAATTGGATAATTGTAAATGTAACAGACTTGGGATTCATGGAAATGGATTGGAAGATGGTGACGTGGAAAAAATTAGAATGAAATTGAGTTGGTTCATAACCGGGACCACATCGAGGAAAATGAGTTTAAGGGTCCAATTTGCAGCTGTGAATTCTTTATTGGGTACAACGCCTCTGAGTTTTGAAGAAATTTGTGATAAGAATAATAAGAGGTTTGTGAGTTGTTCAAGTGCAATTGATTGCATACAGAAATGGTTTGATTTGTTGAGTGATGAGCAGAAGGCGATGTCTGTTAGGCTGTTTCCTGCTGCTGGTGTTTCATAAAGAGAGTCTTCTTGTTGAAACTTGAAATTAAACAATTTTGTAGTCATAGTAGCCGTAATGCAAATTACATTCATTCCCTTGTTGGTGCTTACATGTTTAAAGTTAATGACCTAATTTACTTACTATGGGTGATTCTTTTGGTAATACATAGATTGTTATTGTAAACCAAGAATGGGTCGAGCTCTATTAGTTTCACCCAGTAAAAAATTCATCTTTTGCTCATATTTACATGGTTTCCAACAGTTTTGCCTTACTATTTGGATATTTTTCATTCAACTAAATGTTCAAAACCTTCTTAGATAGGAGGGAGTAGGAGAGAAACTTCTCTCACTTTTTGTGGATCATATCCCTTATTTCCTCACTTTTTTTTCCCTCATCTAAAACTCAAGGAATGGGTGGGAAGTTCTTCCTTCATTTTTTTTTTATTATTAATTTTTTTTTTGTTTATGATTTGTAGTTGTTAAATTAATGCTAAACATAAAATTTAGTTAAAAATAAAAAGCATTTCATTAATTAAAATAAAAGTTAAATTAAACCTAAAATTTAAAAAAACTAGAATTTTTTTTTATTAAGAAAAAAGACAAACTAAAAATCAAACAAACCAAGAATGACCTACGGAAAATATTTTTGTAGAATTTTTTCCCTCTTCTTCGTCACGAGCTCGAGAGCCGGCCTCGATAGATGATCGATGTTTTCCATCAAAAACTTCACATCCTCTATTTCTTGTCTTTCCGCCCGCTCCTTTTTTCTTGTTTCTTCTTTTTCTCTGTCGAACGCCAAATGTTCGGAGAAATTAAGATTATATCGATGAAACGATGTTGTTATTTTCCGCATTTCGTCATTTTCCTCGTTGAAATCAGATGCACCCGAAAAAGTCTCTTTTCCCTTTCTCTTCGCTTTGTCCCTACCCATTGGGCGGACAATTTCTTCGAGCTCGAGTTCGTCATCCTGATTTAAATCTAGACCGACCCGAGCATCATGCCACTTGAATGGTTTTCCGACTTCTTTAAGGTAAAACTACAAAGCTTCTTGAAGTATTTGTTTGTGTCCTTGACCGTTTTTCCGTTGGGTTTTTAGGTTGTTGTACAACCTGTTATTTTTGAAACCCCCTTACTATTTCTCGAAACTTCGAATTCAGTTGATGTTTCATACGGTAGTCGTCGCCTTTTTCTAGCTCCTCTCGAAACCATTCTAAAATGTGAAACCAAAGATGTTCTTCCGGTTGTGCGTTTCCTTGAATCGAATCTTCTGAAATGTCAGCCAAAACTTTGACCAAAATTAGCTCTTCGTGTGGAAGCCATGCAGTCGGCTTTTGTCTTCCCGATTGTGCAACACCCTCACGCGTTTGTTTTTTTCCCTTTACGTCTTTGTGGGGGTGGTGTAGGTTGGGTTTCGGGAACCATCTCTTCTTCTTGCGAGTCATCCAACTCGTCAAAAAGTTGGTGTTGTTGGTGGGTTTGGGTTTGAGTTTGAGGTTGAGGTTGATTTGACGATTGTTGATCCGGAAACACAACAAAGTTTGAAAACATTTGCGGCGAAACATTTGGAACTTGCATCGAATAATATTGTCCAACATTTTAGTATTGAAATTGTAGTGGAGATTGAATGGGAACATCGAGTTGGGGGCGATAAACTCCTTGCGGGGATGAATCGATAGCAAAAATGTTTCGAGAAGGGATGATTATACTCGAACCATAACTTTTTTTTCCTTCGATCGGAAGTTGGGGTTTGATTGTCGGGATTCATTTTTTTAGAAGAAAATAGAGAATAGAAGGTAGCGTGAATAATGTTTGATGTTTAATATGTATGTATTTATAAGGGTGGAAAAAAGTTAAAAAAAAAAATACAATTAGCCGTTATAGCCAAAAAAATAAAAAAATAAAATAATAAAAATTACTTTTTAACCGTTGAATAACGGTTCAATTTCAAAAAAAAAAGGAAATTACAACTAATCGCAGCAAGAGAGAGAAAGCGGGAGAGGCTCCCCTCTTCGTTTCCCGCACATCGCTTCCCCGCACCGACGGTGCGGTGTTCCGCCGGGCGGGAAGCTCCCTGCACCCGTTCCCCGCTCCCATTCTGTCCGGCCTTAACCACAACATCTAAGTTCATATTAGTGAAAACACTTTATATAAATAAAAAAAATAATAATATTGGAGACAGGAATAGAAATGAAATGTATTGATTAGTGCGGGTTTTATAAAATTTATTCTACTAAAGAGTGTTGACTAAACCCAAATTACAATTCCATTGTGTTTTATGGGATTAAATTTTGAAGGGAAGATCAAAATATGAAATTCCAGTAACATGCAACATTCCAAAAAAATTGCATTAAACTTATAAAGGGGTGAAATAGTGATAACAATTACAATCATAATAAAGTTTTGATTATTAACCCCAAATATGTGAAATATCTTTCTGGAAAAAAATATAACAATCTCTAAATATTATTAAAAGAGAAACCTTATCACATCATTTAAAACAATCTGGATCGTTAATTGTGTTTTCTTTATAGGTTTTACACCCTTAGATCAATTTGCTTACGTCACCTTGATTAAACAAGAAGTCAATCCGTTATATTAAGAAATTAAATGTAGGAATTGAATGAAAACGATAATTGGTTCTTTATTAATGTAAACCTTAAATTTAGGCTTTATTTTCATTCAAAATTGCTTTCCATATACATTATATGTTGAAATCTCGGAAACTATTAATTTCAAATTTCAAAAGTTTCGGATATTTTTATGAACCAATACACTTTTCAAGCATGATATCTTAGTTCCATCTTTTTAATCGGTAACTATGATCCTATTTTCGAAAACAGTAAACTCATTGTTAAAATTGGATGTTATATGTAATGAAATTATGATGTTACATGTGTGTGTATACCTTTGTAAAAAATCAATAGACAAGACAAGAGATGACATGATATAATATAACAGACGGGTTGTACAAAAGAGATGAACGCCCTCATTAGAAAGTTTTTTTATGCCTCCGGTAGTAACAAAATAAGAATAAAAAATATACCTTCTCAACAATTGACTTGAGCTTTAAAGTTAAATATAAGCATGTTTTGAAAGATGAAAATAGGCTCCCTAATTTGAGGTCATGATAGTAGATTGAGCTAAATCACTTCTGCCCCTAATTTGCTATTTGCTTTATAGTAAGGAATGTTCTTTACTACCACCGGATCATTTCTTGCACGTTCATGATCCATTGATATAATCCATGTTGTATTTCAAATTCAATAACAAAATTATAATTAATTAATTTCTCATTAAAGTTAATAAATTATAAATTTATCTCACTTTCTGCTCATCCAAGTTTTCTCATTGCTATAGCATCACGAAGTTGATCATATCACATATTTTTCTAAATAAGAAACACTAATATCAACAAAAGAAGCTATTTAATTTTGTAATAAAGTTGAATTAAAAAAGAAGTAAATAAATAAATAAGAAATAGAAGAACCTTGTATTACCACCATATTTTATGTTTGACCTCATCACCATATTTAAATCCTCCCATAATTTGAGGCATTGTGATTAACCAAAATGCAACAATGCTTGGATCTTTCATGCTATCAATAATATCCTGAAACACAAAAGTAGATGTTTTGAAGTGAGATAATTGTTACAAGAGGAAAACGGGTAGAATCGTAATTGACATTTACCTCATAAGGGTTTTTTGTTTTTTTTCATTATGTTATAAGCTTTGCATGGAGGCTCGATAATTTGCAAAGTATATAAAACTAAAGGGGTGTTTCTTTTTTCCTTCATTAAACTCTATAGTGAATGACTATATGGATAAAGTGTTCTATACATAAAGATTGTAGATAAAGATGGAAAATAAAACGCAATGGATTATGAGAAATCACAAAAAATAAGAACCAAACCTAGGAACCAACATCGAACAAAAACCCTACTTTCTTTACTTCAAAAAAAATCAACATACCTGCACATACTCAAAACTGTAGAAAGAATGTCACAAAAAAATGTTATTTCATAAAAAAAGGAGCCTAAAAAAAAAAAAAGATGGTTGTAAACTGAAGAAGGAATATCAAAATCAACAAAAAAAAAAATGAAGATATAAACATAAATGATGGACCTGATAAATGATTTATGTCATATTATCCTTAAAATAAAAAAGAAGCCATCAATGAATCTTAACATTGTCGATGATAGTGACAATAACTTAGATTAAGGAAAAAAAGATATGATATTAGAGATGAAGTGGAGGGAGATGATTAGCTTCGTTGCAGATTTATTGGTTATAGTTTCTTTATATTTAATATTGTGTGTGTGTGTGTGGGGGGGGGGGGGGTTATGTGGTTCATTTTGAAGGAACATAAATAAGTTGCTATTTTTTGAAATAAAAAGTTATATTTTGCAATATAGCCATAAAATAACAATGTATTTTAAAAGTACATTGTTAAATATTGGATTATACTTGTGTATACCCATTTTCACGCATGGTTGGTTATATATAGTTGTTTTCCGTGTCACAAGTAAAAAATGTTCGAAGGTACTTATATGTGACAAACAAGGTCATTGAACTAATAAAACAAAAAATGTTGTCTATAAAGAGGTCCTTTAACGCTATATATATTTACCTATTTTAGTGTAATTTTTATACATTTCAATAATACAAATAACCCTACTTTTTTTTATAATTATTTTGTAATATCTATATAAATTTGCATTTTATTTATGTGTTCCCCGTGTTTAACGCGGGTCATAATCTAGTTATAATCATAATAAGGTTTTGATTATTAATTACTTTTCAAATCAAACGTTAGACCCACTTTTTGACTACACATCATTTTTACAAAGACTTACCAAGGCACCTGTAGACCAATATATACCCTCGAATAACACCTACAAGGGGGAACTTTAATCACCAAATGTTTCCTTATGCATATAGATGAATGCTATGCAAAAAGTCATATTAGTTGGCGTGACACCAACTATTTCAAAGAGGGGCATCTCATACATGTTTGTTTTGTATGCAATATCCATTAGCATCACGTACGGGAATGTACACATCTTTAATGAAATTCGATAAGCAAAAATAAATCTTGAAGCTCGTATGGTGATGCATCTTCATGACTGTAATAAGCATAGTCATGTTTATTTAAGAAGACATAACAACCTACATTTCAGTTTTGTCATTTTTCCCATTCTTCTTGAATTTTTGGCTTGCATTATACTATATTGTTGGAAGAGTGGATAAATTTTCTATATTTTTATGTTTTAATATATATAATATATTTTGTGGTTTCACATGTTTTCTTAACAAATCTTCAACTATTTGGGTTTCACTTTCAGAAAGACGTCTTGGATACGACTTACGAGTAACCTTCTAAATATAAATAGTTACCTTAGTAGTGAATCTTTTTATTACAATAACGTAACCAAATTCGGTGCGCCGTCTTTTGAACCAGTCTAACTGTTCATGATAATTGAATATTTGAAAATGATGTTTTTTTAGAAACTAATAAACTCATTGATTAATAATTCTACTAATAAACTTAAAACATTTACCATGTTGGTTTCAAAATTTGATGTGTTACTAATGGAATAACTACTGCTTTCATTATCACAATATTGAGGTGCATTGCTAGTGTGAATATTGTTACCGCAATCAATAGATACAAATATGAATATATGATATACATAAACATAAATATCTTAATAGTAATAAATGAACACACCTCATAATTTAATTCATCAAACTATGATAAATATTCAGGCCAATTCATGTTGTTACTTAAAATAATTTAGTTTCCAAAATTTGGTATGATGAAAATGATTTTGAAGGGTCTATTTATAAGAAAAATATTACATTTGTTATGATTAAACATGCTAAAATTCGTCACTATCTTTGCAATGTGCACTGGATAAAAAAATATATCTGAATTGTCTTGAATTGTGTGTCCGTACCAATGTTGTAAAGATTGGGATTCTATGTAGGATCGTTTTTGGGTTTGCAAGATCGGGATCGAGATCAAGATCCCACAAAATAAAACATAATTTTAATTTATAATTTTTAAACATGAAAAATATTTCAAACATTTAATTTTTCATTTAAAAGTCATAAAAACTTCAAAATATTAATCATAAGTTACAACATAAAATGATAAATGGTAAATTAATAAAGATTAAAAGACATAAAGTGGTAAATCTAATTTTCATTTGCAAAAAAAATAATAATAATCAAGGGAAGGTAAGATCGGATCCTACCCAAAATACGATCTTACCTACGATCTTACGATCCGGATTATTTTTCATACCTAGGATCGTAGGATCGTAGAATCCTACGATCAGGATCGCGATTTTAACAACCATAGTCCGTACTTTATTATATATTTAATTTAGATTTATAGTCAGATTTTCTTCTATTTTTATCCTTTTTATTTTTAAAATATAATTTATATATTTTAATCTTTTGTTTACTTTTATAAAATTATAAAATATTGTAATGTGTAATCAGATCAAATAAAAAACGAATAAGTCATAAATATTATTTTATATGTTACAATAACAAATAAACTAAATGGGAGGAAATTGTAAATATAAAATAAACTAAAGGGTAGAAATTATAAATATTAATTACAATCGGTTGACATCATTGAAATGAATTTAAAACTATATATAAAATGGTTAAATATAATCATTCAATTTTTGGGAGGTTAAGTCTTGGTAAAAAAAATAAAAATGATGTATAGTCAAAAGGTATGATTTAAGTGTGCTAAGGTGACAACGTTTGATTTGAAAAGTAATTAATAATCAAAACTTTATTATGATCGTAATTTGTTATCATTTTTTTTTTCAAACAGATGTTTCACTCAAATATAGGTATAGGATGGTGACCTGAAAATAATATATTAAATGAGGGGTTATAAATGAAAATTTTATTTATATTATGAATTGTAATATGTTTGGATTTAATATTATGCGACAGGTATGATGATTTGAATTTTGACCTATGCATAAATAAATTTGGGAGTCATTAACAACACACAATTCCAGAAAGTGTAGCATCTTCCAAACCCGACAAAAAATCTTAGGATATAACTCTATTAAATATTTAAAAAATGTTTAAATTGTGTTTTTTTATCAAATACTTTATCCAGCTAAAAACAAAATTTCAAATTTAATGTTTTTTGTAAAAATGTTTTTTTTTTTTTCAATTATGTTTTTGGAGTTTTATAAAAGTTAAAGAATATTTTTTGTATCCAAATTAATAGAGAAGTTACATGTTTGTTTATGCCACTATATTAGAAAAATATTCTTTTTCAAAATAATTTTATAGGAGCTAACATTTTATTTTAAAGGAATTCAAGTTTTTTCTTTTAAAAAACTAAGACATAAATTTTTTGTTCTCCAAACTAAAAATATATCACAGAGGTTTGTTATTTACCTTAAGTTATAGATTCTTGTTACCATTTTTTAAACCTACCAAACATTTATCTTTTCCTTAAAGACCATCATAATCAGAATATCAAAATAATACATTCAATCCATTTATTTCATTGTTCATACCATCAAGAAGATTCACCAAATACTCAAATACATACATATTTAACAATTAATACCCACAATATTGACCAACTACATGACACCTCACATATTCAGAAGCATATCCAAAATACGTCGCAACTCATTGACAACATTTTCGATTTTCATCCGATGTGATGGAGAGTCCATGGAGCATGATACTCCAATCTTGATAGTTGAAGACAAACATTCCTCTATATTCTTTGCATTTTTTAAGATACATTTCGTATCAATAACATCCTCTTGAAGAAAATTCAGAAGATCATGATCAATAACATCGGTTACATGATCTGGCAACGCCATGTAAGCAAACTTATGAATGTTAAGACCTTCATTAAAGGTGTTGTCTGTCGGCCTTTTCCCTGTCATCGTCTCCAACAATAGTATTCCAAAACTATAGACATCCCCACTACTTGTCATCTCATTACCGATACCATACTCTGTAACTTATAAGCAATTGCTTTAGAAAAAAGTATTAACATGATTAACATAATTAATAAATATGAGCACAATTTAAGGAATACGTGAACTTTACCTGGAGGTGCATACCCAATTGTTCCTCTAATGCCACTTGTGCTATTTTGGTTTGAATTTGTTCCAAGAAATTTAGCTAAACCAAAGTCTCCAACATGAGCCACCATTTCATGATCAAGTAGAATGTTGCTTGGCTTTAGATCACAATGAACGATGGTTGGTAGGCAGTGATTGTGAAGATAATCAAGTGCAGATGCCACATCAATGAGGATATTTATTCGTTGAAGAAGGTTGAGTCTGGATTTAGTTGAGCTTGAATGCAACCAATCATGTAAACTCCCATTGGGCATGAACTCATACACTAGAGCTTTGAATTCATTGCCTTGAAAGTCAACGCTTGAACATATATTTAGTATCTTCAGTAGATTTCGGTGTCGAATATTCCGCCATGCTTCACACTCTGCTATAAAGCTTTTGTGAGCTCCTCGAGTTTGAAGACGTAGAACTTTGACTGCAACAAATTTATCATCATGATCGGTGGTTCCTTTGTAAACAGAGCTGAAGCCACCCTCGCCGATTAAATTATCTTTAGAAAAGCCATTGGTAGCCTTGAGAAGTTGACTGTACGACAATACTTGCATATTGGATTGTGGTTCCGGCGATGATTGACTCGGTTGGTCCTTCTTTTTCTTACACCAAACATACACAAAACATAAAACGATGGAAAGAGTGGATGCAATCGGAATGAGTATTATTATGAACAAAGGAAACCTTTTTTTATGATTTCTATTCATCTTCTTGCATTTGGGCAACCCTAGTTCAGCCAAACCACCACAAAGCTTAGTATTCCCCGAAATGGAGAATGCACTTGCATTGGCAAACACTCCTATCACTGGTACTTCACCCTCAAGATCATTAAACGACAGGTTTACATATTCTAATAAGATAAACCCTTCCAAGAATCGAGGAATTTGACCCGATAAATTATTATGAGAAAGATCGAGTTTTGAAGCTCCTCTCATGGAACTTAATGACGATGGTATCATGCCATGAAATAGGTTTCCCTTTAAGGAGAAGAATACAAGGCTAGTGCAACTACCAAGGCTACTAGGAATGTCGCCTGATAAATTATTATCAGATAAATCCAGAGAAGTCAACATCGTGAGTTTCCCAACCTGTATTGGAAGTGACCCAGACAAATTGTTTCGAGAAAGAATTAATGCTATGCTTAGAGATGAAAGTTGAACAAGTTGTATAGGTATTTTGCCACTGAGTTTATTATCATTAAGATACAACTCCGATAACTGATGACAATTTCCCATGCTTGATGGAATATGCGATTCCAATCTGTTGAAACTTATATCAAGTGTTATCAACAATGATAAGTTCCCGATAGCATCCGGAATTGGCCCCGAAAATTGGTTTCTAGATAGATCAACAATCTGTAGCTTTTGAAGCTTACCGAAGGTGGAAGGGATTTTATCTGTGAATCCATTACGTGCTAATACTAAAGTCTCTAAGCCAACTAGATTGCCTATACTTGAAGGGAGGTTTCCATATAAATAATTGCCTTCTAAATTCAAAAGACCGAGTTGATCAGAAAGATTACCAATTGTTGTTGGCAGCAGCACTCCTTGAAACTTGCAATTATCAAGACGTAACAGCTCTAATCTAGTGCAATTTCCCAAAGTATCAAGAAACTTGATAGAATCGGCTTCTCGAGATCTAAAGCTGTTAAAAGCTAAGGAGAGAAAATAGATATTTTTTAGTTTTCCAAAGTCGATTGTCAGCTTCCCGCTAAAATTGTTGTTATTCACTTCAAGAAATGTCAAGTTGGACATATTAGATATCGAGGGTGAAAGAGGTCCAGTCAGCAGGTTCCTTGACAACTGAAGGAGCTCAAGATGAGGGAGCATTTCACCTATGGCTGAGGGAAGATCACCAGTAAGCTGATTCCTAGCCAAGGAAAAACGAGTTAGGAGCGAGATGTTAAAAATGGAACGAGGGATGTTTCCATATAAGTTACAACCACCACAGTAAAATTCTGTTAAGCTTTTCCAATGGCCTAGGGTTTCTGGAATGCTCCCACCCAACGGATTGTTTCTTGCAGAGAAAACTTGTATCGATGTTATATTCCCCAAGAAAGGCGAGAGTCCACCTGTTAAGTTATTATCCTGAACACTAATAGCAGTAAGTTTGGAGAGAAAACCCAACTCTTTGGGAATGCTTCCGACTAGCTTGTTGGAAGCAAGACTAAGCCTTTCAATGTTAGAACAATGAGACAAGTTGGTTGGAATGACGCCATCGAATTTGTTAATGCCAAGATAGAGGAAATTTAATCTGGATAGACGACTGAGTTCGTTAGGGATCGTTCCTTGAAAGCTGTTGTTCATGAGATCAAGCTGTCCAAGGAAACTCAGGTTCCCTACATGAGGAGACAATGAGCCTTGAAGGCCTTGCGAATTCAGACTTAGAGAAGTCACTCTTCTATGACGCTTCCCACATGAAACACCACTCCAATCACAGAAATGAAAGGAAGTGTTCCATGAGCTTAGTGGATCATTCGTGATCATCGACTTGAACTGCAACAACGCCTCATAATCACTTTCATTACTGCCATGGGAAACAAAGATCATGGTGGTGGTAATCAGAATTGTTACAAGACTAGAAAAGTAGAAAGCTATGCGAGACTTCATTTTTGGAACTGAACTTAGGATTACAAAAAATTTGGGCTTTTAAAATTATACTGATCATTTTTTGCATGTTATCAACTTCACCATGACAAATGAGGACCCTACGACCCATCAACATAACCAGGCCCTGTGCTTTCAATTTCTTTTTCCAGAACTTCATATATATATATATATATATATATGGTGATGAGAGCATCTTATAAATGGTGTTGGGTATGGGTGGTTATGGAATTTATTTACGTGGGGTACAACACTTGATTAATTACTTTTCAGTAGGTGGAGGAGAAGACCAAGTCCATAAAAATTTTACTTCGGCTTTACAACTTGTTTACGCTTATACATCATCTTTGAAATCACTGTCCCACAAAAAAAAAAAAAAAAAAGTTGTTTGGAGTCCTAAAGTAAACTACCATCATTGAACCGGTCGTTACATTAAAAATACAAACCTTATATGGGCGGTGTGTTTTAATGCTTTTGTTTGTAATGTCTGGTTCAAAAACATACGCTTAGATCGACAAAGATTATAATGAACCATATTTCTAAATACTATTCTTGAACCCGTCTTTAGTCTTTACCATAAAAATCCAAACGCTTATTGATCGTTTTTGCTATATGGGCTTGAATTGGACAGCCCAAAAAAATGGGCTGGTCTTAGACCAGTTGTGGCCTTATGGGTCGGTCTTGGACCCAAATTTGATACATGGTTTCTTTGTTCAACTTAAAGCTCAATATTTTTCAGTTGCAATAAAACTCGTAATTTATGATCGCTTATTGTTTTGTCAAATTTAATCAGTAGAGTGAAAAACAAGTTTGTTACTTGTATTTTTTGATAAATAGGCTGCTTACGTGGCTTGGTCAAAATTATGTTGAGGGTTAGGAGCCACAAATCGAGATAAACAAGAAAAAACATCTTTTCGAAGGGGATCAATAGAAAGGAAGTCAATTTGGTTAAGGCAATTGATGTTTTAATAATAATCATTTATATATAAATCTATCAGCCTGATGATAATTTATATTGTAGTCTAGCTATCTGGTTTTAAATAGCAATCGGGATTTTGATGTTGGTTATATGGAACTAATATAGCAATTATTGATTTACTGAATTACAACTAAGCTATTTTAGATGCATGGGCAAATTACATTATCCACTTTACAACTGATACATATGTTCTTCCCTCCCTTAATAAAGTGGAATACTTTGTTCATTTCTAAAAAAGTTATATGGGTCTACACTCCTCTTAACTTGAGCCAACCTTTTAAAATTTCCCTTAAAGTATTTCTCACCCCATTTACGAGCTTCAGAGTAAGTCGTGTTTGCATGCAGGTTTGTTCCAAGGTCAAGATCTCGATAATTAAGGTACGCACTTCTCGGGTGTTTCGAGACATAAGGTTCCATGTACCTATACAACGCCCTAAGCCAATGTATATGCTCCTTTGATGCCCAAACACCATTCACTTCCCATTTCACCAAATATTGTATGTTGTACAAATTCCCTTCTCTATGTGGGAATGGAATACGAGATTCTGGGATCTCACTCATCCGTCCACCATACGGATCCATTATCAAGAACACAAGTTTTTGTTGAAGGAACTTTTTCCGTATTCTTTCAAATACATGTTTCGGTATAGTTTTCGTCACAAAATCGGATTTTGCCTTGAAGTAGCTTACGTAAGGGTCAGTTTCATTTCCAAGTAACACCTCCAAAGGTTCCCCACTCGTGAATCCTGCAAAGTAGAGAACCGACTCTATCCAACTCATTTCGGTACAATCTTCTGGCTCTAACCCTAGTTCCGGGAAGCTTTTGTCCATTAACGGGATTAGATCTTTGACTTCTCCCAAGAACAACGAGTTAAACAACGCTTGAACGGATGTATTCTTATCATCGTGTATATATTGTATAATTACTCTAATGAAAAGTTCATTTTGAACCTTATGCGCAACGTGTTGCCATCGATGGACGATTTCGGTATTTTGTCGATCCATGCTTCTGTGAACGTTGAACACCGTAACCTTTGGTGGAACCCTAACGAGTTTGATTTTCCATGAGACAATAACACCAAAGCTCGCCCCTCCACCACCTCTAATTGCCCAAAAAAGATCTTCACCCATTGTTTCCCGATCAACGAGCCGCCCTTTCGCGTCTATTAAGTAAGCGTCGATGATGTGATCGGCCGCTAGGCCGTATTTCCTCACCATGGCACCGAACCCTCCACCGCTAAAGTGGCCGCCAACGCCGACACTTGGACATATCCCCGCCGGGAACCCGTGAGTTTGACTTTTCTTTGCGATGTGGTAGTAAAGCTCCCCGAGTGTGGCCCCCGATTGGACCCATGCAGTTTCGTGCTTAATGTCGATGGTAATTGAACGAAGGTTTCTCATGTCAATAATGATAAATGGTGTTTTGCAAAGGTATGAAAGGCCTTCATAGTCATGGCCACCACTTCGGATTCTAACTTGGAGTCCTTGTTCTCGGCTACAAAGAATAGTTGCACGAATCTCGGCTTCGTTTTCTGGTGTGACAATTCCAACTGGTCTTTTAGATGCGGTTGAATTCGAGCACCTAGGGTTGTGTTGAGAAGACACTAGGGATGAGTACATTGGCATGTCTTGTGTGTAGACGTATCTTGAGGTTGTAGCAAACGGGACAAAGGATTTATTCATACAAGAAAGAAATGTTTTGCGGGTTGCAATTGCATGAATAGATATTGCGGATGCAATTGCAACCAAGAAAACGTAAGTTACTACTAGAGGGAGATGGGCCATGACTTTTGCTAAGGTTTACTTTGTTGGTGTTCTTCTAAGTGGTTACTTATAGGATAATGATGATGAAATTATGGGGTAAGAATAATTGCAGGCAAGTATTTGTCATCAACAATAAGGGGAACGATAATTACAATGAAGAGAAATGACCACTTCCTCCTTATTTAAAGGTATAAATGCAAGATATGTCATCTTTAATAGTTCTTATATATTGTACTATATTGATCAATGTAAGATTCTCTTTTAGACACAAATACTATCCTATGAAAAAATTAACCTATGTCTCTTGAAACTGAATAAAATAATGTTAAAGATGTATTTGGAAAATTTAACTTGCTAAGACAAAATGTAATGAAACAAAAAAATAATTTTGTTAAAAAAACATTTGGTTCTCAACTCAATTGGTGTTCGACTGTCTGTTCAAGTTCTTCAATCAAATAGTTATTGTGGATTTTGGAACTAACAAATATCCATGTATGACTTTTGTTTTTTATAATCTTTTACAAACATCTTTTTATTTTATACTTATCTATGTTATACTAGAGAATCTCTCTCGTTCGGCAACACTTTATTTTTTATGCTGTTCACGTCGCATTAGGTGATTTTACTGTATTAGTATACTGATATTAGATAAAATTGCAAAAATGGTCCCTGTGGTTGACAAAAATTTGTGGTTTTGGTCCAAAAAGTTTTGGTACTGTAACAGTGATCAGATTTTAGATACTTTGTGTGGTTTTGATCCTTATGATTATCATTTTCTCGTAGTTTTGGTCCATACCCTACCTAAAATGACAATTATATCTTTAACTAATTCTTTTTTAATTTCTTTTAATTAATTTCTTATTATTTTAATTAAAAAAACAAAAAAACCACCCCACTCTTAAGTCAACAGCCCACCACCTCTCTCTCTCTCTCTCTCTCTCTCTCTCTCTCTCTCGTAAAGACCCACCACCGGACTTCAATCCATCGCCTCCACCATCATCAACCACTACCACCTCAAAATCTTTAATAAATTGTCGCCACCATATCTTCCTCCATCTTTCACCACATAAGCTACTGGAGACTCCTCGCCTAAGCCAGCTTTTACATTCCGACCACCACCACCACCATTGATCAACACCATTACCACCCGTCTACACCACCAATATATGTTTAATTTCATCTCCTCGATGTGGACATCAAAGCACAATAACTAGAAAACTACAGATCGAAGAAGTAAAAAAAATCGATTGAACATGGAATACATCGAAGCACTTCAAGAACTTATAGGATTTCAGCAATTTAAGAAAATTCTCTATTGATGCTCGATTTCTTCATTTTGTTTGAGAACGGGAGGACACAGTAAGGATAATGTGTTTATGTGTGTGTGTTTCAACCTCTTCTCAACAACAACTATCTTCGATCAACCTCTACCCACAAACACCATCTCATACCACTTTTCACGTTTCATCTCCAACAACCACAAAATTTTATCTTCAAATCAAACTGAAATTCAACACCAAACCATACCAAATCAAAATCAAGAACAAACCTACAACCGATATCAAAGCCTAAAAATCTTTTCAAATGTTTTAAGTTCCAGAAATTGCCTCCCTCAGATCCAAAAATTGAAAATGGTTCTAGAAATCAATTTCCTCATTAAGAAGGCGTCGACGGGTTAAAGGAAGGAGGAGGAGGCAGTGGGAGAGATTGCCGATGGTGGAAGACGATTAGACGAGTGTAGATGCACCGTTAATTGTGTAGGTTCTTCGATCAAGGTTGTAGACGACAACCAATTTTTTTTGTAATTTGGGAATAGGCTACGGTTTGAACGGGAAGGGAAATTGAGTATGGTGGGGGTTTTTTATTTTGAATAAAAACTGATAATAAAAAATGGAAAAACAAATTATAAGGACATAATGGTCTTTTTAAGTAGATAGAGACCAAAAACAATAGAAAGATCCAATTTTGGACCATTGGTGCACCAACATTTCGTTTTGGACCAAAAACACATAAATTTGCCAACCACAAGGATTATTTTTGCAATTTGTCTTGATATTATGTTTATGTTTAGACAGAAATGCAAAAATGGTCCATTTGGTATGCATTTTTCCAAAAAAATGCCCAAACTACTAAACTTTTGGATTGACGGTCCTTTTTAGCATGTTTTGTTGTGGATTTGATCCCTCTCAAAAATGAAATAACTAAATTGCCTCTATTTGATTTTCTTTTATAAATAAATAAGAATAAAATAGCCCACCAAGAACACCTGAAATCATCAGTCAAGAACATCTTTATCTTCATCACGATTGAGAACCAAAAGTGAGTAGTCTAACCATTGGTTCCTGAAATTTGCAAGAACACCTGAAACTCAAACACAAGTCCAAATCAAAGTTCTCTAAGAATCAAGATTAAACAGACATTAAAGTTTGGTAATACCAAATCATTACCGGAGAAGCTCACAAATTAGTGAGAATCATCAACATAGTTGCATAGAGATTATGATTGTAAGTAGACTGGATTAAAGGTGTTGACTAATTACTTAATACAGAGGGATATTGCAAAGTAATTCGACAAATTTAAAATCTCTAACACACAATTACAAATTGATATGTAGTGGCTTTACAACTCAACTGCATAGATTCGAGATTAAGAATTTCACAAAAGGATTTACTAACAAAACAAAAGAACTAAAATCAATATGTGAGAATTGAATCGATTAAAACAATTATCTAATTGACAAACTTAAAGCGAAGGTGCGTTGATCTCGGTGACCAAAATTAATCTAAAACCCTAAACCCTTAAATCGATCACAAAATTAACGATTCTAATCAAATTTACAATCGATGCTTAACTGATAATGGAGCATTGCTTATCGAATTGCAAGTGATTATTAATGAAAAGTATAAGAGTGTCATGCACAAAGTTATCACTCAGACGGATGGAACACGAATGTTGATTGCATGTTTATATAATCAGGAAAATGATTCTAGGATTTTTCTGGCACGACGTTGTTGGAGGAGACAGCAGAGAAAGAACAATCATACCAGGAGTTTGTGTTTGATGATTACATGACACTGTATGTAATATTGAAGCTTCAAACGAAGGAGCCGACAAATGCGTTTGATGGTTCCGATTTACCATTGGGATAACTGTGTAAAAACACATTTGTGCTTTCTAGTATGCATATAGGAGGTGTTTGAGATTGTTTTTTTTTTAAAAGTCATTTTCAATAAAATGACTTTTTGACTTATAGTTTTTTTTTTTTTTTTTTTTCCAAAAGTGAGTTTTAAAATGTCTTTGGATTATCTTTTGAAAGAGCAAATGCTAAAAACCAAAAGTCACAAATTCTGACTTTTAAAACCATAACTTTTTCTTTTTGCCAAAAAATCATTTTAAAAGATTTTTTATAATTTCTAAACAACTTTTCACACTTTTAACTTTTTAAAAAAGTTAAAAGTCCAAAAAATCATTTTAAAAGTTTTCCCAAACACCCTCATATTTTCAAAGAGACCCCATATTTTAATTTAATGAAATATTAATTTAAATCGAAAAAACATTAAAATAAATCATCACGAGGGTATATTAGTTATTTAAGTGTACCGAGAGATTAAAACCACAAACAAAGGTATTTAAAAATTGAGATCTTGAAAAAAACCTAGAAAACAATACATACCATAAGGACCATTTTTGCAGTTTTGACTTATGTTTATGTTGGTTATTTAACATAAAATCCTCCAATTTTACACAAAAAAGTCGGTTATACCTAAAGTCATTTTTTGGTTCGTTAATAGCCAAACATACTGTAAAATTATTTCACTTCTGCCCTTTAGCCAGATTTTACCTTCTAGGGTCGGTTACCATTGTTATAAAAGCTCTCATATTTACATATCACCTCAACTACCACACTTTGCCACCACCATCGCCCTTTGCCACCAACGCCGCCCTTTGCCACATACAGACCACCACCATCCGCCACACACAAATCATCACCATCATTATTGCATGTGAATCGACCCTTGCCTCTATCGTGTAACATCCCAAAAATACGGTCCAAAAATTTCTTTTTTAAATTATTAATAAAACCATAAATATCATAATCATATAAAAATCATAAATCATGTATCTCAAAAAAAAAAATATCATAACAACTATCAATGTATCAAAATCACATGTGAAAACATCAGAGTAGATCATCCCATGCTTAAAGTTGTGGTGTGTGTCATGCAATCATCTTGAGCTCTACATTTTGCTATCGAAAGTACCTGAAACCAAAATTGAAAACTGTAAGCACGTAGCTTAGCGAGTCTCCCCAAACTACCACATACCATACTATAACACCGTAAATTTTCAAATAAAATTTTCATTTAAAATCGCATAATTCTCATAACACATTTCACAAAAATCCCATTTTTTTAATTTACAAATTCGAAACTCCATAATTGTTTGATTAAAATCTAGGATCTTCAAAACATAACTCTTTCACTGGTGTGTACAATCAAGCTGATACCTTCACGTGATCCTGATAAGAACCTGAAACACATAACACATAACACGATAAGCACGATGCTTAGTGAGTTCCCCCAAATACCACATACAACATATTAGCCACTCGAGTCTATAACTCCGTAAGACCCTCCGGTCTATGTGTCTCAGTGGGACCCCCCAGTCCCAAGGCTCGTTGGACCCTCTAGTCCGGTCTTAGTGAGGACCATCCCGTCTCATAGCTCGTTGGACCCTCTGGTCCGGTCTCGGTATCACATAACATAACATATATATTAGACAAACAAAATGCATAACTCAAGTAAGCACATAAGACCCTCTGGTCACACATAAATACCACTCAAGGTAAAATATAGTGAGAA